ATGCAACTCCAACAAGGGAAAATAAATAAATGGATAATCACAAAAGTCTAAAATCAGGCGGTGTTTGTTGTGTTCTCTAGTTAGTTAATTTGTTTTGAGAATCTTACAACAACAACAACACCAAGAGTAATTATAATAACGTGTCAGACAGCCACACCAATTGCAATCTCAAAGTACGAATTCCCCTGTACTAAGAGTACGAGAGAAACGAAATTCACTCTAGCGTACTTCCCAGAACACTCATGCCAGAACCAATTTAGGAAAAGTTTATTTCCCAAATTGGTCGTACTGGGGAATGAGTCGATACAACACAAAAAGCGCCCGCAGTGCAAACCGTTGGCCACTAAGGTCATCAAGCAAATTTTTTTTGTTTTTATGATACCAAGTGATAGACCGACAGACCCGTCTTTAACAGTTGCAGGTACAATCAGAGCTTTAAATGGCAAACATCTGAGGGGCACTGCCACTGCGCATAAATTGACGTCTCATGTGCCTGCAATTTCAACAGCAACTTTACCCTTTAAAATCGGCCATCAGTAATGTTCACATTACTGTTTGGCAGCAGAAATAGGTAAGGTAGCAGTACTTCCCTGGACGAACTCTTTCACAAGGAGTTCTACTGCTACTAACAATATAATACAAATAGTACCTACTATGTGGTGTGTAATATTGTACTCGTTGAAGTTGCTTTTAAGTGAATATTTTGCCTGTAATAAGATCGCATATCATGTCCTCAAATATCATTGAACATGGTCTCTCTACATCTAGCAATGGAAATACCATCTGGAGATACTCGTGTATATCTTTGAAACTGTAAAGCAAGAATCTGTTCACAGTTTAGTCTCGATGATTATTTGGGTCTATCTATGAGTCATTTATCTTTTAACGGTTTTCGTAAATCTTTCAGGTTTTAATTGAGAAATGAGTTCAATGTAATAAAAAGGCTTAGAGAGTGTATATCTAGCTGTAGGCATATCATTTTGGTGCAGCTTTCGATGCGGCTTATAATAACCGAAAGGGACTTGTCTATGAATAACGTGAGCCCGTAATCCAGCACGTTGAGTTCAATAATGTGGGCAATCTCTTTATATAGCTTGCTAGTATGTTATATGTATAGAGTATGGTACTAAAAACTTACTTTAAGTAATTACGCGTACGAAAGACGTGTTTACATTGAATTTTGATTATTCTTAATTACTTTAAGAACTGATTCGAAATTATGTGTAAGAACGAGACCGTTAGAGAAACGTTCTTTTAATTAAAATTAGGACAAAAGCTTCAGAAGTGTAATTTATAAAATATTCTGGTCAAAGCTGAAACGTATTCGTTTTTTAAAAAGTACAATTTAGTTTTCTTTGTTGTGATCTTCGAGATTTGTTTTTATAGTTTTCAAAGAAATAATTGGGTATACAGTGGAAGTGGTTACACACATTACACATAAAAGTTATTTAAAAAAGTTATAGTATGAAATTCGCGGAAACTACAGTTAAGTCAATGTGAAAAGTGATAAGATAACATTAATTCAGTAAAGACATATTCTATTGCAAATATTGTCAAGTTTTTCAAATGTTATACAACAAGAAAGTTCAATGTTTAAGTAGTTACCTGTTACTTAATTATTTCTATAAATTTTAAACTTAAAATAATTTTACTCACTCCTGAGACAGTGTGGTAGACTTCAGCAAAGACAATAATCTCTCCCGTGAGTACGATCGTCTGAGCGTAACTGAAAATCACATGGTATAGATCACAACACTGAATCACTCGAGTCACAAAGTCACTTGGGGGTCGATGGATTACGAACGTGTTATCACGAGACGTGCGGATCGATCCCGGTCCGCGAATGTTTTGATAAGGGCGGAGTGAAGACTGCGGTACGGTGTGGACGGCGAGAGACGAGTAGTGAATGCCTCGGTGCGCGCGACGCGACTGACGACTTCCAGGAGCTTTGCTGCTGAGTGCCCGCTCCCGCCCGCACTTGCCTCTCTACTACTACGCTACCAATGATAAGATGAGCATTGAACACTCGTAAGAAGGTACTGTACGGCTGCACGCGCGCGGCAAGTGCATCCATTCACCGCCAATTTCAGTGCGGTCGCTGGATTTACCTACATGGGCGGTAGTTTCCGTCAATTCCGATTTACGATCCAATAGTTGTTTACAACTTTATTGCTCTTAAAATATGCTATAGTTCACATTTATCTGATTCCATTTTGAATTCCAATATACTCTCAACCACAATTTTTATGTGTTCCAGTTCGCATGATGACGTCATGATTAAAATGATGTCAGAAGATGCATTTTTATGAATTAAACAGCACCGGTCTCATGTTGTACTGTTTATAAGAGTAATAGGCAACAAAACAATAATAAACGCCAGCACAACAGTTTGATAACGCAAATATTTGCTATCAGACTTCAGAAGCGTAACGTGTTTATAAATTTACCATAACAAACTATTAATAAATTTCTTTAACGTGCATAAAATTATAATTTCGACACGTTGCTCTCAGCCACGAGAATTGGATATCCATATTTATGGATCGTTGCTTCGATAACATTATACTGTGTGGAAATCAGCGTGGCGAGTTTGTTACGAAGTTAAAATAATATTATGAATTATTTCCAAGTATACACTATATCCAATAACTGGTAATTGTACGTACAAAAGGTGTCTTCTCTATTTACGATATTGCTCATAAAGGTTTCTGCAACGACACTTTTAAGAAACGCTCCGAACTTGCTTTTTTACTGTGAAAAAAACGAGTGCTCTGTATTTTTATCATAGATTATGATAATTATGCAATACATTTTGCAAATTATTTTATTGTAAATTTATATAATTGTGGTATAACAAAGTGTTGTTTTTTTATCTAAGAATGTACCATTATTACGAAACTGTAATACTCTCAAAGAAGAATAACTTGGAGATTGGGAAAAGACAGGTTTATGGACCCATAGATTTTCAGATTAAGCACGGTCGACGAAATATTTGGTGAAAAAGCAATAACTCCAGTCACGAGGAAGGCGTAGACGGACGATTTTCCGCCAAAGAGTAGATTCGCACGTTCCCCATACTTTCACGTGCCTCCTCACGCGATTTCTTATCGCTACCACACATTATTAGGATTTCTAACTACTTGCTTTAATCGCTACATTCCTTTAAAGATTAAAAACGTAGTTATCTAACCGTTAGTTGCTCAGCCCGTGCATTATTCTTAAGTTTTTTTTCATACTTGCGAAATTTTAAAATTTTGCAAAGTAATTGGAGTGTGCATGGTAAGCATAAACGTTGGTGAAGAAATAAATTAACTCTTATTACGCTTGCGGTGAACAAACGGTATCACGTTTGGTTTTAAAGAGAATTCACTGGAAATATAGCTCAACTAGAACGAAGCGAAGCCATGGTAGTCTAATGGTTTGACCTACTGCCTCTCAAACAGAGGGTAGTGGGTTTGAATCCGGGTCTCTGAGTTTCTCGGAATTTATGCGCGAAATTTAATTTGAAATTTATCATGAGCTTTTCTGTGAAGGAAAACTTCGTGATAAAACCTGCGCGTTGAAGAAGGTTCACAACCCTGAAACTGAAAACATGTGAAGTTCCCAACCCGCATAGGGCCAGCGTGGAGGAGTATGGCCTAAACCCTCGTCTGAAAGGAGACCCATGCCTAGCAGTGGGACGTATAAATGGGTTGATGATGATGATGATGAGAAGCGTGTATAGTTTATTTATAATAATGTACCAGACAACCACACCAAATATCTCTCTCAGACTAGGGCATTCCTTGTACTATCAGTACCAGAATAACCAACATTCTGGGGCACTTCCAAGAACATCCAGAGGCGAACCAATTTAGAAAAGTTGATTTCTCAAACAGGGAATCGAATCCGAGACCTCCGCAGCGTAACCTAAGCTAGTGAGGTCGTCATTCCAAACAAACAGATTTCAAATTAGGTATCTCGTTAATGATCATAATCTTTTTAAATTCCTTATGTGGCAATTTATGTTAATTGTATAATTGAAAAATATAGATTTCGAATGAGAGTAAGAAGAAAACACATATAGAACAATAAATGATATCTCAAAACTCAAACCTGCAAGCCGTATCCACTCGGCTTGTGTCCATGTACGGATTGTGCTTCACTAATTACTTACAACAGCTGAAGTTAACTAATTTGTCTGCCTCAGCCAACTCAGCCTTGCTCTGGTATGCCGCGATATTACCGACAACGAACTGTATGTTGCTAATACACATTACATACTTATGTTTTGAAACTTCATTTTTTCTGCTGGAATGCATGTTTTTTACGCGTAAAACTACTAATTTCAGTGCTAATGTTACAGTTCAGTTTTCGCCAACACGGTCTTTGACTTCACCAATTTTATTTCATAATATGGTGCCACTATAAAATATTACCACACAAAATGACATTTAGCAACACACATAACTATATTTTATCACTATTTTGATTACAGTTAGGCACATTATTTGCCCAGTTGGTAAGTCGATGTAAAAGTAGATATATTTGTCGGGCTTGTGGTTACTACATCGGTGTTCTAAAAACTGAACCAGTTTGTATTATTTACTTTTTTCATTGTTAGGACATTCCATTCTTTCAATACTTGAACTTTGTCACCTAGTATTCTGTGTGCAAATACCGACCGGACGCAATGTTACGTTTCTGCTATTGAATTTTATAAACGGTTTCGGAAGCGGTGCAGTGTAGTTAGCATGAATTACGAAATCAGCTTGAAGAATGAAGTTAATTAGGGTAATATCTGGTGTATACCAGGGTTTATCAGTGTTTGGCAATGCACTGCAAACAGCTTCCGATGAGGATGGGGCAACCGCGGAGGTGGGCGTTTTGCTTGCAACACCGGGTGATATCCTGTGCCCTGTACAATATGATCTACAATGGGATGTTCACTTCAGCCATGAATGCTCTTGCCTTGTGTCGTATTCCATAACACTGTACCTTTGTGGTACTACATCAAAATATGGTTATCGTGGGCAAATTGATTGAAATATACTACGAACAATTTCATAAGTAGTTTGGTAGTTAAATTGGAGCTTATCTTCAGATTTTCAGCTTAATTGATTCTTTTATCTTAGCTGTTTTCTCTTTTTCTAACACCTATGTAATTCTAGAGATTAAAAGTCGATAATCACAAATTGATTCAATTACCAATTCGATGCTTCTCATCAACGGATTTTGTTCCGAAGAAAATTAACATAGTTTACATAAGAAATAGATTTATTATCTCACGCAAGCATTTGATTATATCTTCGGTGCTCAAAAATGATTAAAATGCTATACGGGTATCAAGAAACTGATTTGATCTTTCCAAAATCAGAGTACTTGCATTAGTGATGAATTTGCAATAAGGAATCGTTCATTCGATCATTGATTGCTCTGTTGTTGATGTACGTATTATGGAGACGTCCGCGTTAAATATTTTGGACTTGTATCTCCATGCTTCTATATACATACATTTAAGGTATACGTAGTTTAGTGCGTGGCCATGCGTATCGGAAAACTAAGATTAAGGTCAATGACATGTTAACGGATAGGCTCCTGTACAGGAGTTGATCATTATCGTGAACTAATTACTATGTAATTCTAACAGCTTGGCGCGTGACATAGTTGAAGCGCTCTTTAATATACCTGCAGGGTATCCCACGGCTATGCAATACGGAGGGAAAGTATTTTTTTTGAAATAAACGTAGATACAATGGTATTTATAAGTTAAAAGTAACAATTGAACCCTTGCTATGTTATTTTATGTATTGGACGAAGACTGATAATAGGATATTTTACATGTAATTTTAATCTAAACTGTATTTTTTATTATTATTAGAAGCAGGCACTAAGTGCCATGCCACACGGGGTATAATAAGTACTTGCCAAATGAAACTTGTACTTATAAAGTAAATAAAAAGGAATTAATACTTATAATTGACCCTTTCGATGGGCATCATAAAACTGATTGGGATTTTTTTACATTTGGTCGGTTTGGTTAAGGCAAAGGAAGCAACTTTGTAAAAAAAGTCCTTGAATACAGTATTACTTATTTTTAAAAATGAAATAATGGACCCACGAAGCAAAATATCCTATCTACAATATTTAACGTACTTTCCCTCCGAGTTGCATAGCCGTGGGATACCCTGTATAGAAGATTTGAAAAACTTTATGGCATTTCGATTATAGTGTGCGGACATAGATACATATATGTCGTGCACAATATCATGCATGACAAATGCAGGAATTTTAGTTATTGTAAGATATGCTAACATACAAGTATACACTAAGTATAAAGTAATTGTACTTGTATTTATTCTGTAACTATTTAAATTTGTTACAGTATGTTTCTTACAATGCAATCTTCCAACATAAATATCTAACTTGAAGTTCGGCGTTCTCAAACGAAAAGTATCAAAAGTGTTCAATTGTAGTTTTCCAACCAAATCAGAGTTCTGCCCTCCTTATCATAACTAACGTAATAGATATTTTTATTGAAATTGAGTTATTAACATGTCTACTTCTAGGATCAGTGAAACTAGATGTACAACCTACTGTAATCGTTCTTTTTTAAATATCTTATTAGGTGTCAGTTTTATTGTGAAACACAATCGGCGTAATTGACTTTTTTTGTTAGCAAAAAAAACTTAATTAAAATTAATTTAATTCCATTTTTATTAACATGAACTTCCGCAAAGTAACGCCTGAATCTATTATTAAAAAAAAACTTAAGTGCCATTATCTCGAAAGTTACCTAAATAATTATGTCAAGGAGGGCGGAGATAATAAATGGTAATAAATATAACTTTTTTTGTAAAAAAAAACCGATCTAATGTTTATGAAATATATTTACCAAGTTTTATTGAAGTCTGTTAACGGAAAGTGGATGAAATCTAATAAAGTGG